CCTTTTTTCTGCAGGAACTTGTTCCTACTTCCTCCACCTAGGTGAGGCTGGCATTGCCATTTACCCATCCCCCTGCCCGTGGCCCCTTGGGATCACATGACACGAGGCTTGTCTGTCTGAAGCCCACCGTACACATATATACAACATTATCCTGAAGTGGTTATACCAAGATCGTGGCTGCAGCTGTGACCCTGGTATAATTATTTTCACCAGGCCAAGCTTGTCAAGCACATGTGATCTGGGGAGCTGTACAGCATCTAGATCACTTGTACCTACCTGTGATTGTGCCACACCTCCCCGACATGGTTTTCAGGCTCAACGCCCCTCTGGGGGGCCCAGGACCACGGCAAATGGTGTCAAGATGGAGAGCAGGAGCAGAGCAAGGAACATCCATTCCCTGAACAACTCTGTGATAAGTGAAGCAGGAAGTGCTGTCCTCTCAGCGCTTCCTGGTTTAGAGCTCTCAGAAACCTAGCTGAAGTGCCGGGTAAACAGCCCATCAAGCACAGCCTTGTGCCTCTTCCCCTGTATTGGACTGCAGGGGAGACATCAGGGGTCTAATAGAGGGCTTTTCAAGTGTCATCTGTTAACAATTTTGAGTACCATAATTGTTTCACCATTGCAAAGCTACGTGCAATTTTAAGTCTTGACATGTTTGGTATTGAATAACTTAACATGACCCCGTCTTTCTTATATGTTACCAAAAATAGGTTATTATATTGTTTGTGTGCACAAAAATTCATTTGAGTGTATGTTTTCATACAATATCGATTTGATAAACATTAGCACAAATATCGTGCGAAACAAAAAAAACATAAGTTAGGTACACGGTTACTTCTTTTCCTAGAATCTTCCAGGGCAGCACAGGAGGTAGGTTTGAATTCTTCAAGGAAGTCTCCTTCCTTCTATCCCCGATAGTGTGTTAGTAAGAGGCACTACAACCCCATGCAACCAACACCTGAAAGGAGGACCACCTGCCAAGGGTTCCCCCCACTGTGCCTTACCCACAGTATGGGGATAGGAAGAAGGAAACTTCCCTGAAGACTTCCAACCTACCTTCCGTGCTGCCCTGAAAGATAAAGTGGCATGGAGGCTCCGGGGCTGCCTCTCACTGACTCAGGCAGTGGCTGTCATAATGAATGCGCGGCTCTCAGTACAGTGTGGGCTCTGCAGGAGGTGGGGCATCTCATCAGTACCTGGACGCGGGACATAGAAAAAGTGGGGAGAAGCCGGGTAAGGGGAGGCACGGGGGTGGTTGGGGGCAGTGCTGAAGCAGGCGGGGCATGTGCTCTGAGCGCCGCCGGCAGGGCCAGTGGCAGATTCGATAGGGGGGGAAACAATATTATTACTGGGCCAGGGGCGGGCACTGATCCCTCCCTCCGCCAGCACTGCAGGCACACCTGCACCTATGTATGTATGTGTATATATATTGTATAAATATATAGATATATTCTTGTGTATAATATATACAGGGCTTGAAAAACCCACTTAAGTCACTCTCTAGATACAGAAGCTGATGATGCCGATCTCTGCTTCATCAGCTTCTCTGGGGGTCCCTAGGTGACATTAGGGGTCTTGGAGACCCCTGATGTCTCCATAAAGAGGGCCTGTCATGTAAATTGGCTATCCCGTAGAGGGCTTCTTAGCCCCCCCATGTAATAGCAATAAAGTTGTGTGTAAAAAAAAAAAAAAAAAAAAAAAAAAAAAAAAAATGGGCGTTTTTTACTATTTTGCGGGCGCATGCAATTTTAAGGCTTGACATTTTTGGTGTCTATTTACCCGACGTGACTTTTATGTTTTACTAAAAATATGGGTAATAATAAATGTTTTATAACATAACGTAGGGAAACTTTTTTTTTTTTACATTTATGGTACTTTTTTCATTATAGAGTAAAAAAAAATAAAGCCACCCCCACCCCATGGTGATTTATATACCTCCAAAAGAAAGCTCTATCTGTCCCCAAAAATGTTTAACATAAATTGCAAGGCTATAGTCGGGTCATGCTGACTGGTGAGACACCGTCACATTTTTCAAGCACTGTAAATAAATATATTTACACACACACACATGAGAATATATTTATATATGAGGAAACAAAAAATATGAGAATATATATATATATATATACTTAAAAAATTCATATTAGTGGTCCGTGGGATTTAAAATTATGAATTTAGTGGTCCATGAGGTCCGAAAGGTTGGCGACCGCTGCTCTAGAGTACTATAAAACAGATACGATACTTGTATCTGCTGGTCAGCAGTTGTTGGAAGCAGTTCCAGTTGCTCACGCTTGAACTACAGAATATAGAAGGAGGGGACAGTGTGCTGAGACTTACAGTTTAAGGCCCCGTTCACATTGAGCGATTTATCGCGCGATTTTTGTAGCGATATCGCTCATATTTCCGCACTATATCGCTCTATGTAGCTTCACCAATACATTTCAATGTAGCTGTTCACATCTCGTCGCTCAATGTCGCTCAATATCGCTTGTAGCTCGTCGCTTCTACATGACCCTTTTTTAGAGCGATTTTGAGCGATATTGCTCCTGATTGCATACAGCCCAATAGGAAGATGTCGCGCGATACGTCGCTCAAAGTCGCGCGATTTGCATGTCGCTCAGTGTGAATGGGTTCTTAAGGTATAGGTGAAGTGGAAGCAGCAAGGCCAACTGGGACATGTAGCTGTATAACTAACAGTAGTTTGTGCGTCCCGTGCACTTCGCACATGGGCAGCAAGTATTTGATAACTGTAGATACTCTGTAGCAAGGGTGGGCAACTCCAGTCCTCCAGCTGTGCTTTAACTACAAATCCCAACATGCCTCTGGGAGTCATGCCTGTACCTCAGTCTTGCAATGCCTCATCGGACTTGTAGTTCCACAACAGCTTGAAGGCCAGAGCCACCCACCCCTGCTCTACAGAGTATCGATACATAGGACTGCAATACTCTGGGTCATGACCCCCCCCCAATTCAGAGTCACCATTGGAAAAGTAATTAAGTAAAATGTACTCTATTTTCATAATGCAAATAAGCAACATAACGCTTGGCATCACCATCAGAGCGCAGTGTGAGTGTAATATATATTGGTATATATGGCATGTATGTGTTTATATTTGTATTCTGTTTTCTATAGTTGTGCAGGGGTTTGTTCCTATGAAGGAAGAGGAGGCTTGTGTTCTATACGTCTTAGTAAACCTCTGTTGACACTTAGGCCTAGAAAAGATCTTATACAGGTAAGTGGAATTTATGGCTATAAGGTTAAAATAATATACCATTAATAATAAAAAAAAAATGTTGTAATGTGTTAACTACAACAACTGCAGAATAAAAAGAAAAGTACATTTACAGTCTAAAACTGCCATCATATTTTTATGTAAAATGTATATTATATTTCAAAAATATTTTGCCATTTTTAGGGCTGCAACTAATGATTATTTTCATAATGGCCGATTTTGTTTCCCGGTTCCCGACAATTTTTTTTTGGCTGCCGCCTTCATTTGTTTGGACATTTCCAACCGGACACCCATTGTGCAAATTTCATCCAGTTCCTGAAGAACCGCCTGAAATTCGCATAATGAATGGCCATCTTAATGCAGCCACCACATATAAGGGCTGGGAAGCTGCTATATATGACATTTCTGAGTTTCGATATTCTTTTAATATATTGCACAGCAGGCACCATGCAGCCTGAAGATGATTGTGTTCATCTGCAGGCTAAACTTTTTTTTTTTCCCCACAATGATTACTTTGTCATGCATGTGGTATTTGACAAAGCGAACACATAGGGATCAACAACCACTCTAATTGGTTACCGAATGTTAGTGGGAGAACTCAAGCTGTCAGTGACGGCCAGGATTGAGAGCCACCAGTTGTACAAAGTTTCTCCTTTTCTGTCTTTGCTTTGGGTTGTAACAGTTGTGTCCTTCTTATAGATTTTGATGCCTTTACTTTAGGTATATGTAGTGTACAAATAAAGGCTGGTGGTAATATTGTCAGTGAATTTTGATGTAAGAGGTTGGTGGTTTTTTGTGCTTTACAGACATTACTCCATGAAATGATCCATGCCCTTCTGTTTGTCACGCACAACAACAAGGATCGGGATTCCCATGGTCCAGAATTCCTCAAACATATGAATCGAATAAACGGTCTTACTGGTGCCAATATATCTGTAAGTATGGTATTAATTGTTTGCCGTATAGGTTTAGTCAGTGGAGAAGAGGGGGTGCAGGCCGAGATATTTAAACTGAAGCTCTAAGTAAAAAGATAACACTGCAAATTGCCTTTTGTGTTTGCCTGTCTTACACTGATCCAAGGTTTTGTGACTGTTAAAGAAAAGTTGTGTTTTTTTAAATAAAAAATAGAGTGCTTTTAATTTGTACACAAGGCTTTTAGTAATTTGATGTTCTCAAAGCTTCATTTATATTTCAATGTACAGACAACCTTGGCTTGCTAAATCCTGAGCAGTATTGGTTTGATGACAAATATTGGCCAGAATCTTCATTCCTTGTTCCTGTAATTGACACACTTCTACACAGAGTTAAGATCAAATTAAAGGCATCTCTGCACTTCTAAAGGGGTAGCAGAGTGCAATGTTTATTCAAACCCTTGGATTGTTAATGTGATTAAATTCAAGGCAGAGCATCCCACTTGGTACTCCGGTTCAGCAGGCTCATTAGAATGGGCTATCTCTAAATCTGAAGAACAGAAACAAGTATTTGTGTCAACTAGGGGTGCACCGATACCGCTTTTTCGGTCATGAGTACCGATATGTTTTCTCGGTCATGAGTACCGATAAGTATCGCTGCCGTGTGCCATGATTGTCAGGAAGTCGGGCTGCGGATCATAACCCGCCTCCCGGCTTCCTGTTTTGAAAGACAGTGTTCTATGGAAAGAACACAAGCTTCACTTGCTGAGGCTGCCTGGCTTCCTGACCAATCAGGAAGCTGGCTGGCAGGTCATGAGGTGCCGTTTGGCTTCCTGATTGGTCAGGTAGCCAGGCTGCCTAGCAACAAGGATGCCGGCTTCCTAGCCAATCAGGAAGACGGGAGGTGGGTCACAACGTGGAGCCCAGCTTCCTGGAAGCCGCCTTAACTTGTTGCTAGGCAGCCTAGCTTCCTGACCAATCAGGAAGCCAGGCGGCACCTCATGACCTGCAAGTGAAGCCGGTGTTCTATCCATAGTACACCGTCTTTCAAGGCAGGAAGCCGGGAGGCGGGTCATTACGTGCCGCCTGGCTTCCTGATTGGTTAGGAAGCCAGGCTGCCTAGCAACAAGGATGTCGGCTTCGTAGGCAATTGGGAAGCTGGGAGGAGAGTCATAACCCACCTCTCAACTTCCTGATTGAAAAGGAAGCCGGCTCCATGCTCCCTCGGCACTACCAGTCAAAGAAAGATCTCCCTCTGACCGGAAGTTCCGATACTGGAGGTAAGTATTGGCATAAATGTATTCTTACAACCTCTTTAAAATCGACAAATGCATGTGTATTTCTTCTGCTTCAACCACCATTGTAAATGTATTGTATTACTTCCTCTTTAATACCTGACTTAGGTTTATCACAGTTTTCACGATGAAGTAGAAGAGTACAGAAAACACTGGTGGAGGTGTAATGGGCCCTGCCAGTCAAGAAAGCCATATTTTGGATATGTTAAACGAGCAATGAACCGAGCACCATCTGCACATGATCCCTGGTGGGCTGACCATCAAAGAACTTGTGGGGGAACTTTCACAAAGGTAAAAGAACCAGAGTCCAGTTCTCACAAAGACAAGAAAAAGGAGAAAGTTTCTGAAAGCCAAGCCAAGACCGTGACTAAAGGTAGTAACGGTTTTATGGTAAAAAGATATGTATGTTATTAACATCATTGAGTTTTTTTCACTTATGCGATGTGTTGTTTACAATGGAAACAACCTAGGTGTATAATATATAGGGCTGCAACTAACGATTATTTTCATAATCGATTAGTTGGCCAAATTTTTTTCCATTAATTGGATCAAATTAAAAAAAACTAAATATCTTTTATTCAAAATATTAAACACAAATTGAGTGTTAAAAACAAAGTTTATTTCAAAATAAAACTGCATGCACATTTTTTTTGCAATCGCATTGCACTGAAATGCACAGCATTGCGATACTGCACATTCCAGTGCGGATGATCGCACTGCAGGCGGGAGGCGTATTTGGGGTGCCATTGAAATGAATGGCACCACAAAGCACAATTCGCAGCTGATTTTTTTCATGCGGAAACTTTTCCAACCTTTTTTATAATTTAAAAAAAATAATAATTGTGTGTATTAGACATTTTAATTAGTTTCATGAATTTAAAATAATCTGAATTCCAACCAACATATACAAAAACTTATTTAAAATAACCCACCAAACTTGGACAAAAAATAGAATTTTATAGATAGAGAGATAAATATATCCTGGTCATCAGAGTTAGCCATAAATATTGGCCTGAGAATTATTGCTCTCACTGGCGGATGCGGCAATACCTGACGTGTAGGGCAGGGACATGGGGGAGCAGCTGAGGAACCTGGGCACCAGTGGGGGGGCAGCAGCAGATGATACGGGGAATGCAGAGACACAACTGGTCTCTCTTGCCCACTGGCGTTGGCTGCAGCGCTCTGTGTCCCCACTGCCTCTGCCGACACAGGCGGGGAGAGCAACAGGAAATGAAAGGGACACAGACCACTGGAGCCAGGACCAGCGAGAAAGAGAACAGTGGAGTGGGGGGGGTGCGGAGGAGCTGAATCAACTAATCGATTATGTGAATCGTTGACAACAATTCTCATTATTGATAAGTTGTTGCAGCTCTAATAATATATTAAGGACTTGACCAATACTAAATTGCAGTTAGGCTGATGTTTTGTCGGTGATTCTGCCTCTGTTGACACATCGCCAACATCAGAATCACCTGGGAGATGTTTCTGCTTACCTCTACAGAATCACTCCCCTGTTGGCCCAAAATGCTGTCAAATCTCCCTCGCTAGCATAGGAACGACATCTCGCTGCTCCAACTAGTGAGGCAGCGACTCCATTAAAACTGGTAAGTGGTAGGTTAGCGATCATGTTGTTGGAGGGTTGTGCCTGGTGTGGCATGATCCTTAGGGGGAAGTGAAACCAGTTTGTTGGGAAAACCTACTACCAAGATCAACGGTAATAAAAGTTGTTAGTGATCCTGTCATGGTGGGTTGTGGCTTGTATGACACGACCCTTAGGTGAAGTTGAAACTAGTTTCTTGGGTAAATCTCCTTGCGTAATCAACAGGTAATAGAAAGAAAGGGGGAGCGGACTCAAATTCCCAAAAGCTGTGTCATTGCAGTGACACTCTTCATCATGTATGTCATGTTTTAATTTGTCCATAGTCCCAGATTACTTTTTCCAGCATAGTCCTCTTTTCCTGTGTTCCCCAGGCTATCTGTACCTGCTTTGTTGCAAAATAAAAGCATGTAGTTTACAGGGCTCAATAGCTAAAGCTTGTATGTACACACCTAAAAGTGAGAGTCAAAGCAGTGACTCCTGACCCTCTCTGACTAGTTTGTTAGGCAGGCCATAGTTTAAGTAGAGAGAGAGTATGAGCTTCTGCTGTTTTCATCTTTAGAAAACCTATGGATGAATTATGGGTGTATCCTGTATATGTACCAGTTCCAAAACTTAGAAATTAATGTTGACCCCTTACCAATTTGGCATTTCCTTAAAAGCAAACATTTAAAAATGCCAATGTGTACTGCACTGCACTTCCTGGGAAATCTGCAGATCGATTCATTAGAGGACAAAATGATATTGAGGGGACATATTTATAAAGCAGTGAATTTGACATACATCACATATTTACTGCAGGTTTCTGGCGCATGTGTTTTTAAATGACCGGGATTTATTCACCACCAGCGAGTGTTTGGTGAATATGCCCCTAGGTGTGTGAAGAGAACTACCTTAAAGTGCAGTGCAGTAGAAGATATATAGTGTGTGTGGACTAATGATGATGCATATTGATGTTTTTGTTTTGTTTGTTGCAGTAAAAAGCGAGGCAGTTGATATTCGTACGTTTCTGCCATTTAGTGGTACAGGTCATAAGCTTGGTGAATCCAGTCAATCTATTCAGCGCCAGAAAGTCCAGAATGTTGTTCCTTCTTCACTTGAACTTCCCAAACCTGTGCCAAAAAATCCCGTTTATGGAATCCTAAACTTTACTACATCATCATCAAATGGAACCGAAAACAAAGCTTCCAGTTCCAAAGTGCCTAAAATATCTGTTGCAAACACCAAAATGTTCATCAATGTTGGTGGGTCTCCAGTAAAACTTTTTAATAGCAGGAACGTGGCATCATCAATGACTAAAAGTGGAAATTCTAATAATATGGTACAAAAGAAGATTTCATCTGAAATGTTAACTTCTACTAATGTGGTACAAAAGAGGACTTCATCCGAAATGTTAACTTCTAATGTGGTACAAAAGAGGATTTCATCCGAAATGGCAATCTCATCACAGAGTACACCATCTACCTCACAGGAAACAAACAGTGAAGGAAACTATGGTCGGGCTCCTAAAAGGCCCAGAATGGATGGCAGTCAAGGCATTAAGCACTTTTTCCACAACGTACCGGGAGTAAGCACTACTGGCAATAAACCAGCAATAACTATCCCTCGTGACCAGCAGAGACCTACGAACGCTACCATCTCCAGTAGCCAGAATAAGAAGGTTAACTGCCCTGTATGTAAAGCTGAGGTTCCTGAAGCTAAGATAAATGACCACTTAGACACTTGTTTATCATAAAAATACTTTTTTAACTGTTTATGCTATAGGACTTTATATTGCTTTTACATCCAGCCTTTTATATTGTTATATGTCAAAGAAGTGCTCCAAAAAAGTTATCTTTTTTTTTTTTTTTTTTAAAATCTGCTGACTTACTAATAGTTAAGTGCAAGGAGGTGTATGCCATCTGCTGTCTCGCTCTTTTTTTTTTAAATTGCTATACTTCTGCCACTTCAAAAGGAGAGAAACAGGTCAGCTATACAGCAGCTGCACTGCCTACCCCTCCTCCTTTTCTCTATCCATTCTGTGATTGGACAACAGGAGACACAGGGTGGGCAAACGAGGAAAAAGCTGTTGTGTAGGAGTCCCGTAGGTCTAGTGCAGGGGTAGCCAAACTCCGGCCCTCCAGCTGTGGTGGAACTACAAATTCCATGAGGCATTGCAAGATTCTCACAGTCAAAGACATGACTCCCAGAGAGAGATGCATCATGGGATTTGTAGTTTCACCACAGCTGGAGGGCCGGAGTTTGGCTACCCCTGGTCTAGTGTGTCGGGGGGTGCTATAAGTCTAGAGATTGCTCTACTATTGGCATACAGGAGACAGAAGGTGGCATACGCCTCTTTGCCCATGACTATTAGTAAGTCAGCAGATTTTAAACTAGAGATAACTTTACTGGAGTAAGTAATGTTCTTTAATAATTAGGAGTCAGCATTGGGTTAAAAAAAAAAGGATACTATTCTCTGTTATAGTTTATAAAAACAATTGCAGTTTTAATCAAGGGCATCTTAATTGGTCCACTTCATGTGATCTACTGTAATCTCAGTACTGTACAAAGACCGTCGAGGCTGTGACTATTTTCCTGTCCTTTTTTATGTTGTTTCTCACCTCGTTTGTTGATGGTTTTTATTCTTTGCACACGAGGAGCACAAAAAAGTAACTTTATAGGTATATTTGACTGCCTGGTAGAATTGCCTGCATATGGACACACGTCTGCAGCCTCAATGGCCTTTTAGGGTAGCCTCAGATGTAATAAACATACATTACATGAAGCCCTAGAACACAAATGCATGCAGATGTTTGCAATGGGATGCACAGTTTGGTATCCTATGTTTGATATGAAAGTATATGCAAGCTGTGGGGGAAACTCATTAACTTTCAGTGGCGCTGGCCAGGAAGGTGCCTCTGTTAGGCCATGCTCATACAGCCAATCCAATCAGGTCTGCTTGTCAATTTTTCAGGCAGGTTTGGTTGGAGGCTTTTTGTTAGTCTAAGGGCAGGCGGATGTAAAAGAACATGCGTCCGATTTACATCCGATTACCTCAGAATCCATTTAGGTCAGAAAAAATGAAAAGGTTTGCATCCTTTTACGTTTTGGCGAACCTAAATATGACCGAACAGAGGTAAAAGGATGTAAACGGACTCGAGTCTGTTTAAGTCCACCTGCCAATAGACTTCACATTAGTCCGTTAGGCTCCATATTTAAATTAATTACAAGATGGAGGGAAAAAAACTGAACAGATACGGATTTCACAAAAGTGATATCTGATCCATTCTTCCCCAGTTCCGTAGGGGATCTGTTCACGAATTTCAGACAACGCCCATGTGTAAGGGGCCTAATTTTCTGGGAATTAGCCATGTCATGATAATAGAAAGATTTCTCACTACATAGTGCATTTATTTACCGTTCATAAATATAAATGAAACCAGAATGGCAAAATTCTGTACTCAACTATTTTAATTGCTTTATGCAGTACTTGACAAACTCAGGGCCAGTTAGGTATTCCTTTTGGAGGGACCATGCAGCATGATCTACCCAAGCGCAGATCATGGATTTCCTGACTGATCAGGGCACCTGCTATGAGACCCAAGCGCAGATCATGGATTTCCTGACTGATCAGGGCACCTGCTATGAGACCCAAGCGCAGATCATGGATTTCCTGACTGATCAGGGCACCTGCTATGAGACCCATGGCAGATGTTTAGTTAGATCATCCTGCACAGACAGGGGGGAATTTATCAAAACTGGAGCAGACAAAATCAGGAGCAGCTGTGCATAGCAACCAATCGGCTTCTCTCTTCAGCTTGTTCAGCTAAGATTTGAAAATTAAATAGAAGCTGATTGGTTGCCATGCACATCTGCTCCAGATTTTGTCTGCTCCAGTTTTGATAAATTCCCTTCATAGTATTTAAATAGAAACAGCAGACAATGAATCCTGGTGCTTGGATTCTTCAGGTTTTTCTCTATGTTGTGAACAAGGCAAAGTACAGCATTTTGCTACTCGGGTAATGTCTTATCTGTGTTTTACTGATGTCCTGGAATGTTCACGGTATTCAGTGTTTTATTCACATAATCTGTTTTTAAGGGACTTGGAAGAAATTTGTTTTAGCTAAATACCTTAAGCTGAACTACAATCAGCTGTAGAAATTCACAAGGCAATGTCGTGGACATGCCCTTGGCTCCTATTAGACAAAATAAAGCGGTTTGCTTTCAAGGTAGGATCATAGGCAGTCAGTACTTGCCCTCACAGCACTAACCCTAATCGGCACTTAGACTGCCCCAGGAATACCCGATAGTTACAGGTTTGAGTGACCATGGTATGCAACACTTTCCTACACAGTGCAGTGCTCTACACCTGAGAACAGCTTATGGTTTCTCCTGTTAAACTGTTATTTGGCCTAGGATGGGCAAACATTTCAGGTTCACTTTAAGTTTTTAAACCTAAATATGTCATATACGTGTTTGTTGCTTTTAAATGTTTAATAAATGTAATTTATCAACAACTGTACTGCCTGTTTTTTCACTGAGGCCTATAGGTGTGTTTTTATTTTAAAGCAGAAATCAAGGCACCAGGATTAAGACATAGTTCAAAAGAGAAAATCACAATGCATGTATTAACATAGTTACATAGTTACATAGTATTTGAGGTTGAATAAAGACATTAGTCCATCAAGTCCAACCTATTAGGATCTCATTCTAGGAGTACCCGTACCCCTGTATATTACGGTCCCTTAAGAAATAGGAAGGGAGACAACAAGAGATAACATTTTTATAAAAAGGAAATCTCACCGCTCCAATTCCTTAGCCACCATCAGGACTCCCTAGGTGCTGGTCCAATAGGTGCGTCTCCACCTTGGAATGTAGTAGTATGCGAACAGACCGCACTGTCCAGAGAATTCCAATACTTCACTTTATTGAAATTCACAGCAAATCCAGTATAACAGTGATTAAGAGTGTATAAAGCAACAAATGCCAGCACTGCACACCCCCAACCAACTACAACTCCTCACATGTCTCACCCGCAGGCTTATTCATAGAGCTCCTACGGGTGAAACTTGTGAGAGGTTGTAGCTGGTTAGGGGTGTGCAGTGCTGGCATTTGTTGCTTTATACACTCTTAATCACTGTTATACTGGATTTGCTGTGAATTTCAATAAAGTGAAGTATTGGAATTGTCTGGATAGTGCGGTCTGTTTGTATACTAATATATTGTAAAAGTGCTATGAAAGTGTCTTAAAATAGGGTCACATGACTCTACTGGTTTGCTTTCCATTTCAATGGATGCAGGATAGTAAGAGTAAAGTGCTCTTTTTCCCTAGGAGTGAAAATAAAGACTATATACTCAACTGATCCTCAATCCTGCGGCAGTGACTGCTCGCATCTTTCCCCTCCGCTCTAGCTGGGGTATATCCCTCAGCGTCCTCACACCTAAACACAGGTGAATACACTGTATTAGACATGATGATGTCAGCAGGGCTTAGACCGCTGGAGCCCAGGGGAGAAGAGGCTGTGGGGACCAGTCTAGCAGCTAGGTGAAACCGAAGATCAGGTATTCTTTATTTTTGACCCTAGAGAAACACAAGCAGTTAACCCTTTCAGCGCAGGGGAAGGCCCCACTGCAATGGTTAATGTCTTGAAAACCTGGAGTTCTTCTTAGAGAAAAATGTGCACTGTCCTATCTGACCTCCTTTTGAAAATGCTAGTCGTCTGGCTGTTATGCTGACCCTCTGGTACAAATACTTTCTGACTGACTGGTACTAAATGAAATTGCAGAACAGGAAATTCCTATTAATGTCAGAAGTGCTTACTTTCTGCATACTTTAGCTGTGTTAATAACTAAATGTATCGAAGCCAAAGGATTTGCCTGACAGCCCGGTAACTAACATTTTCTTACTAAGAGGTCAGCAGTAGTAGCCTTCATGTTTTTCCTCCGGAAAGGCTAGGTTTTTAGATCAAATGGATCTTAGAAATAATGTATATATCCGTGCCACAAGATGGCAGCAAAGCTTCAGTGGACCTGGTGTGAAAAGGAAAACTGGTGACTGGAAGAAATGTGTTGCTCACCAAGAGTGATGGCTAACCTAACCAAAGTCATTTTGGTATACGCTGAAGTGGCTTCAGTACAGGTATATAAGGATTCTAAAATCCAAAAAGGATTTTACAATAAATAGCCTCCAAAATATGTTATAATTAAAGGCCAACTCCATCTCCAAAATATGCCCCTTCCTAACCAATGAAAGCACAAAGCTACTCATCCACTCACTTGTTATCTCTTGTTATAACTCCCTCCTCATTGGCATCACCTCTACACAGGCTTTCCCCCCTTCAGTCTATTATCAATGCTGTAGCCAGGCTCATCCACCTAGCCAACCACTCAATGCCTGCAACCCCTCTCAGACAATCCCTCCACTGGCTTCCGATCACCCGAAGAAAAAAAAAAAGGTGAAATATTAACAGCCACTTACAAAGCCATTCACAACTCTGCCCCCCGGCTATGTCTTCAACCTCGTCTTAATGTATCAACCTAATTGTCCTCCCCGCACTTCCCAAGACCTCCTGCTCTCTAGCTCCCTCGTCAACTCCTCCCATGCTTTCCAGGACTTTTCTAGAGTCTTTCCTGTCCCCTGGAACTCCCTACCCCGGCCTGTCTGGCTATCTCCTACTCTGTCTGCCTTTAGGCGAAAAGTCTGAAGATTCATCTCTTGCGGTAAGCCTATCCAGCCACAACAATGCAGGCTCCATATCCCTCCACCGTACATGGGGTTGC